TCACTGTCGTCCGGTAGTGCCAACCCGCGAACAGACCCCTAAATCTAGTAATCACTAGATAGTGATCCGTTCCCAGGTCAGCACCCCTGAACACACGCGTATCCATAACCTGTTTTCGCAGTCGGTCATCCACCAGGAACAAATCGATCATACTTCTCTCATTCTTTCTTTCTCTAGTATACATATGGATTTTCTTGTGATTAAACATAGTGTTTGTCACAAGAAGACCCTTTTCCTTGCATACCGCCAGTATAAGCTTGCCAGCATCATTAACCCTTTTATCGCCAAACTTTCCAAGTACCGACTCGTACCCTGGTCGAGCGGTACCAACCCATCCATTCAAATCACCACATACAACAATCCTTTCGTTTCCCCTAGCCAAATCTAGAACTTCTCTTACATTCTCCCAAAACTCCTCAAGCTCAGCCCTGGACGACGAAGCCACCGGCGCATAAACAGCCAAAAGGAATAACTTCGTCAGTCCCAATTTAAAGCGAACCCAGAGAAGTCTTGAGTTCACAAACTTATATTCAGTCATAACATCGACCAACCGAGAAGACAGCAGCACCCCCACTCCCTGGCAGGCGTTCTCGCTCTCCGGGACTCCGGACCATAGAGCAAACGCCCCGCCAGGGAGCTCTTCAGTACCACTGCCCTTCCGTTTGGTCTCCGACATACACACGACATCTAATTCTCTTTCTTTCATTATTTCGATCAACTCATTCGTCTTATCTCTCATGCCTCCTCTAACATTCCACGTGCCAACTCTGCACTCTGTCCTCCACCTTCCGCCGTGTCGGGCTGTGCGTGACGGGTGGCGGTCCCCATCGCCGCTTTGCGCGCTGCATTCCACACCAACGGGGACGAGCTGGTGTGCGTCGCCTTGGGGGGACGCCCTAACCCTCGTTGACATGGGTGCGCAGCTGAGTAGAATTGCAGCCCTGAAAAGGGCTGGCAGGTGTCGCGACGAGCACGCTTCTACAATGACCCCCTGGAATTGATATTACGAGAATGGAATGGATATTACGAGTACTATAAATATTTTTTTTATAGGATAGGGTGACAAACGAGCACACGGTCTACCTAATGGTAAGTGGTTGCTGTGGCCCATAAACATCTACATTTATCCTAATTTGCGAATCAAAACGCAGATGCATTGTCACCCGTGAGGACTAAGTTGGAATGCCTCTTTTCCAGTAAAAAGGGTCTCCGGTTCTCTACACTCTCCATACGAAACACAGCAGTGTTAAGTTGCTATTTTACGCTGGTATTATGTGAGAGCGTGGTCCTTCCCCGGTTGAGTCGACCCATTCGTGCTACAAGTATACTACTAATATGGCTGCAGCATGGCTCCACCACGTATAAACTTTACTAACGTTACTGCTGAACATAGGCCTCCTCCCATAGATTGCCTCACATGCCATATTTTAGCAAGCGGGCTGGTAACCGCAGATTTCTCTTTTTACTCGTTACTAATTACTATGAAGACGTTGCTGCTCATCTGATTTGTTTCCCTCTGTCGCCTCTTACGACACCCACGGGATGATATGGGGTAGTGGAGATTCATACACCGCCACTACACGGTTAATGTAATACTTATAATATTTTTTGGATTTGGATATTTCAAATTAACTTCTAAATTTTTTTTTGTTCTTCTATATCCTTGCGTATAAATAATCTAATAAACATGGGTCTTTGCCCTTGTAGGGCTTATTTGCTATCTCACACCTTCACGCTTCTGTTCTTGGTCGTACTGAGTATGTATTTGTCTGATGTAAACGAACCTGTCGTCATATATCAGAAGCCATAAGGTTTTTTTGGTACATATTTCCCTTAGTCGCCTTTAACGACACCCAAGGGACGAAATAGGTTATGGATTCACTAGCCGCCATAGCTTTCTTCATCATGTCCAATGTTAAATAAAAACTCGAGGAGACACGCATAAGAACGATAAAATTCCAATGCAGATTTTTATGTGTAAAGCGTTTCACTTTACCGAGGTTTTTTCACGCTCTTACTGACCTGCGTTAAATAGTAGGTTAATTCTGCTGTGTTTCGTATGCTGAGTGTAGAGCATCGAAGACCTTTCTTAATGGTAACGAAGCAATCCATCTTAGTCTTCGGGAGTTACAAATGCATCTATATTTTGATTCGTAATCGAGTATACATAGATAAAAATGTTTATGAGCCACAGCATCCACTAACTCAAATCCAATGCCTAAAAATGTATTCTAGAATGCATCTGTACCGGCTACAGAGTAGCTTGCGCCATTAACTATAAGTACATTACTAAGATGTGCTATGTAAAATAAAACGAAATTAACAAAGAAGATACATCTTGCGTGAAGTGCAGTTCATTATGCTTTCCAATTATCATTCAAATCGGCGACACGGGGCAGTTGCACCGAAGGGTGGTGCAGATGGATGGTGGCAGGATCGAGGGTGACGACGCGCCTGCGCGCTGCGGCGGTCGATCGCCAGGACCAGGCTAGCATGCGACCGCCACGTGCTGTGCCTGCTCATTGCATACATACGCATTTTATTAAAAATTCACTCAATTTTTACGCCTAGGCTTGCTCCCTTTTCTTTAATGGGTTTTTTCCGTAAAAATTGCGATTTAGTATAATTCCGTTTTTATTACTTTTTAAGACGGACTTTCTCTTTTTTCATAGGTATTAAAATATTACATATTTTATTTGGTAAGCAGCAGGTACGGTTGATGTAAGAATTAAGCTACCTCGTTTGTCACTTTAATAATTTAAAAAGAAAACAGACAAATATCTTATAATTTATATACAAGAGCTTTTCTTCTAACTATTTAATGGATATTCTACAAGTATCTTTATTGTGGTTTTGTTTATATTTTATAACTAGGGACCCGCCCTGGCTTCGCCTGGGTAGGATCTATTAATGTGGCGTTATTTAGATTTAATATAATCAAAACTCATTTAGTTTTACAAGTTTTCATTTTATCCAAAAAAATATCAACATTTTTCGACTACAGTATAGTCTAGATCACTCCTGCAGGGCTAGCACGGGCAGGAGACAATTTTATCCCCGGGGAAAGGAGAAAATGTTTATCCCCTCGCTTAGTTTTACCCACCCTTCGAGCATGGACACGACGGTGCATATAACATCCACAGTAGATAAAGTTAGGAGATAGACTTAGATATTTTTTTTTTGTATAAATATAAACTTTAAACCCACTTCCAATGAACTAAGATAAAATTGTCCCTTTCAAATGCCAAAAAAAGCATAAATTTTTATCTTTCATTTGGCTCCATGCTACAGATGGGGGATATATGTCTACACGTTATGTCAAAATTCTCCCCGTTGCCGTGCTTTGGCATAAAGGCAAGATAATTTTATCTCAGGTCAGTGGATATAATTGGGGGATACACTTTTTGTCCCCAGCCAGTGCTGGCGTTGTTCTCTATCTGTTCGTGAAGTTATATTTCAATTTTCAGCCATTTCGAAGATTACCCCGGGCAGAGAGACAAACATTTAAAAAAAAATGGTTATTCATGTGTTGAAGAAACGCAATCAGGAAGTTAAATTTACCAGCAGGAGTATAATTATATTGCTTTGTACTAATAAGGAGCAAACTACAATTTCGTGTATGCATGGTTGCGGACGTCTATTCTCTACGTTTTAAAGTACTTCCGCTAATAACTCCGTACTACCGAGGTTCAATTCATGTCTTGGCTCAGGCAGGCTAATGAACCAAATAACGTCATTTCCTTCTTTTATCTATTTAAGACGTTGATGAAACTCCTGATATTGATTCCAGCACTTTGCTGAATAAATACATTTTTTTATTGTCAAAGACGTCGAATACCTTAAAAAAGTCATTGTAATAGAATTTTAAGGAACCAGTTCTTAAAAAAAATCTTTATGGAAAGGTCAACAAAGTAACCAATCAAATTGTAAATATACTCATTACAATAAGTATTTGTGTTACGTTTAACAACTTTGTAAAACGGTAGTCGAATGATATTTGGCACTGCATTGAATGGTGTTTCATGATTGTTGATATTAAGCCCGACGGTTAAAGTACTCCAACTCAAATTGTGCAATTAAGAATGTAGGTACTACAGGGTTGCTTTGATTAAACAGTTCATCAATCAACTTTAGTAGATTTATACGGCTATTATAATCATTTCTTTATTCGTTAATAACAAAATCAATTAGATATGTAAATGCATAAAGCTCGAAGAACTTACAACCGATGGCGAAGTAAGGTTCTCGAGTAGCAGCAGATGGGATAATGTCCTGATAAAACAAGCGGATAATCGATGTATGCAAATAGCTCAAGATTGTACTATGTGGCAATTTATGGGGAAGGCCTATGTTCAACTGTAGAAATATGATGCGACAATGACATAAGTACAAAGGATTTTTTTTTAAATATTTCTTTCAAAGTTTAACAGTTGCTTCTAATTTTCAAGCGAGTGCTGCTATAGATTCTAAACAGGAGATGACCACCACGCCAGTAGCATCTTTCCGATGAAAACCCATAATTATAAAAAAACTGCAGTAGCCAATCCGCCTAACAATCATTGTTGTGATAATTATTGTAAATGGACTTTTGATAGGCTGTAATTATTGGATGAATAAATTAGTTACTTAGCATTAAATCAATATCATTTCTTTAATAGATAACAAAATCTGAAACGTTTCTATTAGAGTGGATAAGACTGAAACGTTCAACTCTTAGTTTTCGAATTGACCTTGACAGAGAATAAATAACAATGCATTTTCAACCCTCTGGTCGGGCAGGCGTGTGGCAATAATCCTGAGATACGTCGGGGTCGGAGGCGAGCGGCGGGGCGTCGTGGTACTCCGCCCGCGCGCCGCTCCACCGAGCTGTCAAACCGCCTTCGACGGGCAGCCGGCTCGAACGCACCTACGTATTCGCCCGAACTCGCGCTTTACGTTGTTCGAAGTGACAGTGTGTGCTCTCGTTATACAACTCGCATGACGGACAAAATCCAAGGGAGATGAACGGCAGTACGACGACGGTGAATGGCGGCGCCGTCAATGGTACCAACGGCACAATTAACGGAATCGGAGCCGCACCGCGTACCGCGACACTCGGGACACCAAGCAGCTACGCGTACACGTCCAGCGGCTCGCTGCTAGGAAGGGGGGGCTCGGCCAGACCAGTGCCGCCGCCGACACTACCAAAGTACAGTGGATCTTTCAGCGCCGGTAGCACTCTTAGCTCGACCGGCCTCCGGGAGCGCGACAGAGAAGGCACCGGAGGCTCGCACCGTTTAGCTAGCCTCGAAAGATTGGCTTTACGTCAGCGCATCATTGAACAGAATTCAAATAATCAGGTGTCGACTACAACCCCGCTTAATATAACTACGACCAATGGACCCACCTCTGCCACTGCAACCCTTACCGATACAGCCACGGTGAGTCCATGCACCCCTCTGACAGTTCCCCTAATCGTTAACGCACCCCAAAAAGGGAAGTTTCGTTATTTTAGGACAACCCTCTTGTACTAACGATTGGATCCGTGTTTATAAAACATGAGGTGTATGTTTTAGTTTGACTCGCCGCATAAATAAATTATTTCGATATCAATCAATGAGATTTAACGAAACATAAATTTACTATCTCTAATTATAAGCTAATAATTTTAAATTAAAAAAAATAATAGAGAACAACTAACAAAGTAAATGACAAACTCGCATCTTTCTCGTAATACAGGACGCTAGCTGTAATATTTCCTATTCTGGATCCAATGGGAAAGAACTAACTAGTAAGAAGCCTTAGTAAAGCATAACTTTATCTGACGTTACTTTTTCATTAAATATATTATCTTCTTTAGTTAATGGAGCGCAGAAAAAAATGTTATAAAAATAATATATGTAAAATATAAGCTCTTAAAATGTTTACATTCATAACGGGACCTCTGCTACATTTCGTCACGTAATGTATTTAAAAAGGATCACTTGACGGTTATACGCCCTAATTACTGCAGCATTTATTTTGTTTGGTCTTGATAGTATTCTTTGTGTGATACTTAATAATTTATTCATATCTAATACAATAAATATTCTTCGTACAGTATTCTAAGTATAGTCTATAGACGACTCGTTATTTTTATTTAATGATTATGAGAACTTTCTCCAAATGTCAACCTCGACGTTTGATGGACCAGGCTTTGACGACCGACTGATTGGTAGACTGATTCATTAGAAAATGCAGAATCCTGATTACACAAACTTTTGATGGTGCCAGTGCGCGGGTCTCAGCTTAGTGCTCCCAAAGCCGCCTGCTCAGCGTGGTGAGTAAGCTATGCAACTTTCACGAAATGCATTCTTGGAAAGGTCAATGTCCAGTGAACTTCGAAATGCTGATGAAGGGAGAAAATGTTTATATTGATTGGCATTGTTGTGTGCCGATATAGAAGTTTACGGGTAAATACGCGTATATTTTGGTAGTAAGATAGCACGTAGCTACTTATTCAACAGATCAAGGCGTCTGCAACCTTTCTTGTGTAGATTTTAAAATGAGCTTAGTAGCAGTACAGCTAAGTTATGTTATGGTATGTCACGGAGCTACCTGCTATCTGTAATAGCAGGTAGCCCGCGAAATTAAAATTTAATGATAATAATAATTCTGTAAATATATACTCGTTACGATCGCCAATCATATTTTGTTAAACATACAACCTGACCCTGACATGCAAATTCCAAAAAACGTAAAAAAAATTGAATTTCGCGGGCCACGATCTGCATAAGATGATTAAGATAGAGATTTATTATTTAGAACAGACATACCGTTAAATCTTTAAAATTTTATTTCAAAATGAGAAATTCATATGCTATATATGAATTTATCATTTTAAAATAAATTAAATGAATGAAACAGTCTCTAAATAAACTTTAAATTTGAATATATCTAAAATATGAATTAAGATCTGATTTGATCTGAGCCACATATTTTTATTGGCGTATTGATTTAATAAATGTTTGTAAAAACAGTGAGCTAAACCAATGTTCAAGAAAATATATACAAATATTTTCCGTTGAACCCCAAACTAAGAAAATTTGGGATGTGACAGAGTGGACAGGGTTGCTTTATAGCTAAGGCTAGCCTCTTGGTTTCATCGCTGAGTTGATACAGGCATTGAAATCTCTTAGACTGCTTTGGCATCCAAATATATCCATAAAGGTGTCAGACAGTGTTATGTAGCTTCTTCCTGACTATTCGGTTGATGAAATTTTTTTTGGTAACTTTGAAAGATGAGAATGGGTGGGTTAGAAGGTCATATTTGTGTCGTCGGCGGTTGAATTGCAAATGATGGTTGCATTAAATAAAATGTCATTAAACGAAAGGGGACTGAAAGTGACCGTAAGTATAATACGATGTATAATAACGAATGTGATATTTTTGTTAAGAATATTTAGTCAGAATGGGTCAGTTCACAATGATGTATGAATTGCCATAAGTCCTTACTTTAATGTATGGTAGTGAAAGTTGGGAGTCACAGACAAAGCATGAGAGTAGAGCTAAGGATGTAGAAAGAAATGCTGTTATTAAAAATAATGTTAGGGGTTAGACTCTCAATGATAGGATGAAAATTTTTATAAGATAAAAGTGGTTTGCAGATGTTTTATGGCCACGATTAAGAAAGGATTGTTTCGATGGTCTAGCTCTAGACGGAAGCTTATTGAACAAATTGGCGATTTATTGAAAATGGGTCAAATTAAGAGTACCCTTTATCGATCAGCAGGCCTAACATAGTCAGGAAACAATTTTATTCCCGGGGAAAAGAGAAAATGTTTATCCCCTCGCTTAGTTTTATCCACCCTTCGAGCATGGGCACACCGGTGAATATAATATCCACAGTAGATAAAATGGAATATAGACTTAGATAGATTTTTTGTATAAATATAAACTTAAACCTACGTTCAATGAACTAAGATAAAATTGTCATTTGTCTCCATGCTACGGACGGGGGATATATTTCTACTCGTTATGTCAAACGGGGATATACTTCTCCCCGTGACCGTGCTTTGGCATAAGGACAAGATAATTTTATCTCAGGTCAGTGGATATAATTGGGGGATAAATTTTTTGTCCCCAGCCCATGCTAGTCGTGCAGCATGTATGTGTATATACGGATGTAAAGGAGGCGAGTGAGGTGTATCATGATCGCGCCATGTGGGAGTTGTGGTCTCTGCCTACCCCTCTATGTGACAGGCGTAAGAGTTTTTTGTCTGCATTCACATAGGGTACTTTAAGACATAACATTCAGAGATTTGTATGTTTTTACTACGCATTATGATTATGACTCATTCTTGTTATCTTTACTTGTGACAAGCATGTGTGTGGATTGCTTTTGTTCTGTTTCTTATTTCTCTTCGTTAGGATGTGGCTGGTGCATTCCCATATAAGTTCTACGAGTGATAGGGCTGGTCTCTGCCGGGAGAATTGTGCGGGTGACTGACCCCAAGTCTACATAGTTAAAAATAGCCTATGCAGCGGCGGCTATTCTGCTCGCATGTGTCGAATTCACTAAACAGACATTAACTGTTTCATGGTCGCACCCTGACCTGAAACTTCTTAGAAGCTAATGAAATACTCCAGCCTCAGAAAAATACTTTTTTTTATTCTTATTGCATCTTTAGACATTTGTTAGTCTGAGAATAATATTTTGTAAATTTTTGTGTATGAACATAATCTGTTAGAATTCTTGGATCCTTATTTGAGTAAAAAAAAAATCCTGAGTGTTTAACAAACGAGCTTTATAAACCATCGATTACTGCTCGTAATATGAGGTTCTTTATTATTTTGTTTTCTGTAGTGTTTGTATTCTAGGAATTCTTGTTATCAGTAATGCGTTATCTTGGTGAACGCGTTGACAAAGCTCGGTAGATAAGAGTAGAAATAGAATTTACATATAATTGAATACTGCATTTCAACTCCTTGAAAGATATACGTACATTGGGTTACACCGTACTGATTTTTTACTTTATACAAACCAGCAAAAGCGGTTAGGGCACGTTCTCCTCTTGCATTGTTTCAATTTAAACATAAGAGGGTAAGTGTATGTTTGTCATACGTTATTTTCGTCTTTCTTTCAAGTGAATTAAGGTTTAAATTGCTTCTTATTAATCAAATATTTAACTTATTTTCAACAATAAGTTCCAGCTTTTGTGCGTCTGGTGTGCATAAGTGTGACGGTCCGGGATCCTTTTGCGTCTATACGTAGTTATAGCCATAATTAACTTATACCTGGGTAAACGCGGACGTTCCTTGCACACGTAGTGAATTTTTAATCTGTCGACAGAACATCTTAACGTCGTAATTATTTTTACGTAAGGACTTTTTCATAAAAATATTCTGCATTGAGGATCTTTCATAACGGTCATAGTTTTTTTTTTTAAATTTATCATCATTATTTCATCCAAGCATATCCTCATATAAATTTGTGTAGTTTGTGATAAATTAACTGATTGTTTATTGCAGAATAAATAGTGCAGTTGTTTTAATATATTATGCTTATGTAAAATGAGCGATAATAAATATTTTCGCCCCGTGTGGTACATGCGTCACTGGGGCGCTTGTGTGCCTCGGCAGCCGGCAACCCGCAGCCGGTAGTGCCGGTAACTTAACCTCAAACTGATACAGACGCGAATGTGCTTCATATTAAAACGGCTGTTTTAAATCATCACAAGATTTACGGGTGTCATCAAAATATTCTAGAAGCAATTTTATTGTTTAGTTTTGTGGATGTTATGCAAGCAGTGGATTTAATAAAAAATAACGCGTAAGCATAACGGTGCAAAGAAAGACAACAGAATACAAAGAGTCCGTTATAAAAAAAACAAAACTATGCATTTGCTCGAAGGAGACGCTTAAAGTGAACAACGAGTGATTGTTTCGCGAGTTATTTTAGTGATGTGTAACTTAGTTCTACGCTTGTGATTTTAAACCCGAAAGTGTTTTTGTTCGTTACCGAAGTTGGATGGGGTCACAATGGAGAACAGAGCTGTAACTAACGGTGCAAATCAAACTAAGTTAACTAGGTGCGCTAGCAGCGTAGGTGATAGTGTACACGATAAAACAAAAGCCGGCTGGTCAAGTCCCCGAGATATATGGCGGAATTTGTCCTTAAGGAGAAAAGCTGAGGTGAATTTTGTTTCTTGTACAGTTACGTTGTTTTGTCAGGTTCTTGTCGTACTTGAACTTGCGTAGATGTTCAAAGTGGTAGGCAGTTATTGATTTACCATCATCGCTATCAGGCACAGCCGACGAGACGACATGATGTGAGCATTAACGTCAAGACTGTCTGATTTGTCGCCTTCAGATAAATAATTAGATAATACATATCTATATTTAGTTGCAATTATAGGGACAATACGCTACTTTACGCGGCAGTAACAATCGTATAAATATA